TGTGTGTGAGTGTGTGTGTGTGAGTGTGTGTGTGTGTGTGAGTGTGTGTGTGTGAGTGTGAGTGTGTGTGTGTGTGTGTGAGTGTGTGTGTGTGCCTGGGCCCCTTTTGATTTTGCACCTGCTCGCGGCTGCTTTTCACGCTTCGGGGTGCCTTCCAGCAGCTGCGCCTCGCCGAGGGCGCTCACGGGGATGGGCTGGGCCGTCCCGAACGGCCGCCCGCGGCCCGAGGCGGGGCCCGGCAATCGGACGACGGGGATCCCTGTCTCGGGAGGGGACGCATCGACCCCCTCCCTCTCAAGGGAGGAAAAATTGGCCACGCGCAGAGGGGGGTTGGAGGAGGGGGGAAGGCCTCTTAGAAGCACCCCTGCTTCTTAGAAGGCGCTGGCCTTCCGCCCTGCCCTGTTCGATTCCTGCCGTGGGGGCGTTTCGGAAACGGCCTCGCGCGTCGCGGAGTGGTTGCGATGGGGGTGAATGTTTTTTGCCCTCGACCCCCAAAGTCGCCCACGGATCGCCGAGGGGGGCCCGACGGCCCACGCAGCCTGGAAAGGGGCGGCTTGATTCAGGAGGGGGTAAAACACGCAGACACAATTGATCGGCGATTCCCCGGAAAAGATCGGGAGTATGGGAGGTGGGGGGGAAGACGAAAACCCAGAAAATATGGGAAAATGTCGGGAATCCCGTTGCTTGTGTCTACTTATTTGCATGTCCCAGGGCCCCTTCAATGATATCGGGGGCCTGTTGCCGATCTACTGTTGATGCATCCCGAGACCATCCGAGACTCCTGCTGTTCCAACCGACTTTAGCCTCGACCACCAGGAATAATTTCGAGCACCAAGAAAGTACCGAAACTGGGGGATTGTCACGTGTCGGGCCCTGGGAGGCGATACTCGTTCGACACTGCTTCGATACCTTTCTTCTGGGTGCTCGAAATTATTTCTGGGATGTGGTCCTTGCGTGCGATGGAAGCAGCATAAGCATTATCGAAAATCTTCGGTAGCGGATGATCTGGGCCGCCGATCCCGACTCGATGTTTGCCTCCCCCCCTTGAGCCAGTGCCCCCCCCCTCGAATGCTGCCCCTCGACTGAGGGTGGGCCCTGGCGGGGACCGGGCGCCAGGGCTTGCCTGCCTGCTCGAGCGGTGGCGGCGGCGCAGAGGAAAGAAAAAGACCTCTCCCTCCTCGTTCTCCGCGTCCTCTCCCTACAGTGGGCACGTCAACGATGAGGTCAGCCTTAGGATGTTCCAACCCATACTTTAGCCTTGATCACCAGAAAGAATTTCGAGTACCACAAAAATACCCACAAACTCTAGGGTTTTCACGTGTCGGGCCCTGGGGGGCACTCTTTCGACACTGTTTCGACACTCTTTCGACACTTTTCCAGGTGCTCGAAATTATTTCTGGGATTTTGTCCGTAAGTACGATGGGAGCAACAGAAGGCCAGCCTGCCAGCAGGTGCCTGCGGAAGGTTTTGACTCCTCATGGCCCTGGGGGCCCACAGGAAGCACGGGGGGCATCCCAGGAAGCTCAAATCTCGACGACAAGCGCGCCCCTAGACTTCTTGCGGCAAGATGTTTCTCACCGTATGTGCCAACTGTACTCCCACTCCCCTTCCGCGGCGTCCTCTCCCTGCGTTTCTCCCCCATCCCCACCCTGCGTTTCTCCGCCTTCCTTCTGGCCCCCTTCCCCGATGCCTGGGGAAGCGGGCCCTGGGCCACATGGGCTTTCCCCATAGGACCAGCCGTTCATCCTGCATTGTTCCCCAAGCAGTGCTTGCACTGAAGGGGTCCTGGCGGAAATTGAAGATTCGGCGAGAGTTCCCCGCCGATGTTGGTAGCCGCCTGGGTTCCTGGTGTCCTGGTCAGTGGTTCCGGGCAGGTTTCGGTGGGTTCCAGGTTCCCGGGCTCCCGGTCGATCTCTTCCATCGAAAACTATCCATGGATTGGGTGTTTCTCTTTGGTACTTTTTGCGGATGGCCCCGCGGCCCGTGGTTCCCAGGACCCCCGAGGACAAACCACCCGGACCGGACAATTGGCGTTTCCTACACGGCCTTGGGCGTTTGCTGCACAGCCCCGCCCTGTTCGATTCCTTCCGCGGGGGCGTTTCGTACGCGGCCTCGCGTGTCGGGGTGGCTATTGTGAGGCAGGGCTGGACCTGAACGGTGTTTTGGCGATTTCGTGGGCCGTTTTTGTTTCGACTTCGTTTTGCGGCAGCGGCAGAGGCGGGTTGAAGACAAAACGAGGGAAAGCGAAAACGACACGAAACCGAAAAACACATTTTACGTTCAGCCCTGTTATGGGGGTGGATGTTTTGCCCTCCCTTCCTCCAGGACCCACCTCCTCGACGCGACCAGGAAGAGGGTGCGCACGGCGCCTCCGGCCTGGACGGGAGCTGGAGATACAGCATGTGTGGCCAGACGTGGATCTCGGCGCCCGCAGCCTGCCCTCCGCACCGTGTGTCCGGCGCGTGGCCTCCGGATGCCACGCGTGATTCAGGCCGCGTGTGTTGCCACGAGCGTGTTTTTGCATTGCTTGGGGCATAATGCTTATTGCTGCCCCCGGCCCCTCCTCCCCCCCCCCCTAAAACGTAGCGCCCCTCCTCCCCCAGTGCGCTCCGGGCACTGCCGCCGTGCGCACGGCGGAGGGGAGGCGTTACATTATACCTCGCCCTGGCCCCTCCCCTGCCCTCCTATAGTGCCCATCATCGCCGAAAATAGAAGAAACGCGCTCCAGGCCATCTTCCCAGACCGTTGACGTCGCGATCTGTTTCGCAGCGTGATTCTCCCCCAGGAGATGTCTGGACCCTTCCTGGGAGAACCGGCTTTTATCATCCCGGAGTCGTGCTTGGACAGCCCCCAGGGGCCCTCGGAGGCCGAGGGGTGCCAAGAACCCTTCCGTCGTACAGGCCTCGGAAAAAAATAGCGAACATTCATGCCACATTCATCTGTGAACGCCTCCCCCTCCCCCCAATGTTCAAAGTTGGCGGTGGGTCTGATGAGTTGCACCTCGACCGCAGTCTCCCCCGCGCGTGCCAACCTTGAGTTTGGGGGGCAGGGGGGTGTTCACTAATTGTTTCCCTCTACCGTATTTTCGGGCCACGGCGCGAGGCTGCCACCAGGCAGGCCCGGGATCGGGATATATGGTCCAGGGTCTGGACCCCCCCCCCTCCCCCCCCAATGGGTATGCCATCTCGGGCCCCCCCCCCCTCCCCCCCGATGGGTCCGCCCCCCCTGTGGATGTGGTGTGGGTGTGGTGTGTTGCTGTGGGTGCGTGCGGGGTGGCGCCACGGTCCTCCTCCCCCCCCCCTCCCCCCCCTGTGGGTGCGGTGTGGGTGTGGCGCGTGGCTGTGATTGGCGTCATGTTGACAGCTCCGGTGCTCGACGTCGTCGCCGCCGCCGCTGGTTGTGCCGTCGTCGTCGTTGTCGTCGTCGTCGTCGTCGTCGTCATTGTCGTCGTCGTCGTCGTCGTCGTCGTCGTCGTCGTCGTCGTCGTCGTAGTCGTCGTCGTCGTCGTCGTCGTCGTCGTCGTCGTCGTCGTCGTCGTCGTCGTCGTCGTCGTCGTCGTCGTCGTCGTCGTCTCCCCCGCCCCCCTCCCATCTGGGGGGGAGGGGGGGTTCTTGTGAAATCCTGGGGCCCATCCCACCCTGGGGGGGGAGGGGGGGGGGCTTGAACCCTGGACCCGGGATCGTATATAGGTGGCTCCCCGGCGTTCCCCAGCGCTCGGAGCGCGTACCAGAACGCTCTGGAACGGCCGCTGCGCACGGTAAAGTGGAGGCCCATGCCAAGAAACACCCTGCTTGCCTCCATGGGTGCCCCGGGTTTCTTGGATCTCGGTGGCTTTGCTATGGAGGGCGTGTCGTTCCCGCACCAGAGATCCATGGACGTCCTGGGGTCTCAGGGTTGGGTTTCTTGTGGAAGGTTTCTTGTGGCCGAACCTCGGAGACCCGATCTATCCCGATCCGGTGTTGTGTCGCCCCTGGCTTCGCTTCATGTCAGGGTCGTTCTCTTGCTCTCCCGCCCTCCCTCCCTCTCTCTCTCTCTCTCTCTCTTCCCCTCCCCCTTCCGGCCAGGAGGCGCCCGAAGGGACCCCCACCCGCGTCGCACAGGGGACCCCCGAGCATTGATGTGAGATCCTGGGCCCCGCGTCGGCCGCCGCCCGGGCCGGGTCTCGTCGAGGCCTGGCCCGGTGGCACTCCGAATCAGCCACACGCAGAGGGGGGGGGGGGAGGGGGGAGGGTTTCGTAGAAGCACCCCTGCTTCGTAGGAGGCGCGGTCCTCATCTATAGAGGTAAGGCCAGCGCCTTGTGATAAGCAGCCTCCTTCCACGAAGCCTTCCCCCCTCCCTCCCGCCCCCTGTCGCGCGCCGCCAAACTCCTGGCGCGCATCGCAGAGCACGCACAGCGCCCTGGCCCGGGCCGCAGGAGCACCTGGGCGGCGCCCCGCCCGACGCGGTCGACAGGCCGACGAGCGGCCACGACTACCTGGAGGCCGCCCGGGCGTCGGCGGCGCCGACGGCGAGGACTTCCCAGACCCAGACAGGCTCGCGCCGTGATTAATGAGAAGATGGGCGGCTGGTGGCCGTCTGCGGGCTCTGGGGCTCTCACTGAGCCCCAGGGCCGTCGATCGTCGGCTCGCGACGAGAAAACCTGTCGGGACTCGCGGAGGCCCCGAGGTGAGCAGATCAAGACACCACAGATCTGGGCCCCAGACGTCCGGCGCCTCGACGGCGTCGGCGACGGCGACGACGACGACGACGATCGGCCTTTAGATCTGGGCGCTTCCAGTTTTTCACACCAGGCATTTTCGCCCAGCTTCGGGCCCCGTGGCCATCACAGCTCGATCTGGCTCGAAAAGTGCGGCAGAGCGATGCGGTGGGGCTCCGGTCGTGATTTTGCGCAGTGCCGCAAGTGTTCGCAGCGCTGGATCTCGGGGGAAGATCTCGCGGCTCGAGGTTGCTGGGCGTTTTCGGGGGCTTTCTCTGGGGCCCTCTCGTTGCCGTGGCTGGGTTCCCCTTGCAGTTCTGCCCAGATTTAAGTCGGGCCTGTCCCTCTACAGGAGGGACATTCAAAAATAGTCAAAAAGATAATCTGGGGACGATTTTTTGATTTTTCTTACCATTTTTGAATATTTGTTGGCTATCTTTTATTTTCCGTTCAAAATCCCCCTGTAGGAGGACATGCCCGACCTAAGCCCAGATCGCACCCCAGGACGGGTACAGCGGGTCGATGTTGCCTCCAATGTTGCGGTCAAGTGGCGCGGAGTGGGCCGAGGATCCCCTTACGGTCCCTCGGCCAACGAAGGTGGCCGTAGGGTTAAGTCGGGCGTGGCCCTCTACAGGAGGAATATTCAAAAACATGTTGAAAAATAGCATGGGGACTATGTTTTCACAATGTTCGAATATGTTGTGATTACTGTTTATAGTCTTTCTGATGTTTCGTCCAAAATCCGCCTGTATGGGGACACGCCCGACCTAACCCTACGGTCCCTCGGCCAACGAAGGTGGCCGCAGGGGGTGGGTGGCCCGTACCTCCACCTCAAGGCACAGGTGTGCCATAGCCTCCAGCTCAAGGCGCCGATTGCTACCTACCACACCTCCCTGGCCTTCCAGAGTGCTACCCAATAGCCCTCCTGACTTGTAGACCTACCTTCAAGTCGGGCGTGTCCCTTAACAGGAGGAGTATTCAACATATTAAAGTATTCAAAATAGTTTCAATAATAGTATGGGGACGTGCTTTGTCTTATATATATATGTATAGATGTATGTATGTACATATGTGTTTATACATATATATATACATATATGGTTATGTATGTATGTATATACATATATACATCTATATATATACATACATTAGTTTCAAATATGCCTGAGTATTTTCTGACTATTGCTTACTTTTCGTCCAAAACCCCCCTGTAGGAGGTCACGCCCGACCTAAACCTACCTGGCCCGCCCAGAACCTCGACAGATATTTAGACGCCAAGGTCCTGTCCTGGTGTTATGGTTCACCCCTCCTGGAAGGTCAGGGCCCCATAGAACTCAGAGTGGCTCGCCTGTCGCCATGACATTGGCACCGATCGAACGTGCGTGTGCATGTTTCCTCGGCGAGGACCATCGAGCAGCACCTTGGATCATCCTGCCAAAAGAAGCGCCCGAAGCCGACAAGCCCGCGGGGAGTGGACTTCGAGCGATGGCAGGTGCCTGGCCTCTGGAAGGGCTGGGCTCGGGCCTCGGGGCCGCAGCGAGAATGGCCGCGAAAAGCTGGCCCTGGTGGCCCTGTGGCAGTGCCCAGATCACTTGGCATCGCTCGGACGTGTGCATTTTTCCTTCGGCGAGGACCATTGAGGAGCATCCTTGATTAGTTGGCGAAAAAAACCACGCACGAAACCGAACAAAACACAGGGAATGGACGTCCGAGCGACGGCGAGATCATTTCGGGCGACGACTGCTGCACAGATGCACTGCTCCCTGGCCAGGCTCACCCTGGACCTTCGGAGCTGTGTGCACGCCCTCCTGGCCGAGCTGACAGCGCGCGGGCCGCATGCACCGCTGCCGGGTTCAGGAGGGGCCTGGCCAGTGAGCCGTGGGCAGGTGCGTAGAGGCTTCGTCGCCCCATCTTTCGTCCCTGGCCGACAGGTTTCGGTGACGCTCTGGACGAACCGGTCGTGACCGAAGTTCGGCCTCCGGGCGAGGATTCCCGTGCCGAGCGAGCCGGCGACGGCCTCGAAATCCGCGCTTGGGCCCCGACGCGCCGTCTCTTCGTTAGCGAAGTTCGACCTCCTCGGATCGCGACCGAAATTCGGCGCGCCATGACTTCGTAAGCCAAAACCTCCGCTCGCGGGTGATGACGGTCTTTTCTGTTCTTGTTGCGGTCTGGCGATGACCATCGGGCTCGCCCCCCCCCCCCGATAACCTCACCCTGTCAGTCGAGCAGGTCCAGACACACAATCCTTATAGGCATTCCCAGACGGCGCCCGCATCGTCGCAGCACGAATACCGTTAGCAGCTGTAACTGGGGGCCGCAGCATTGGTGCGCGCGGGCACCTGCGGGGCTGCCCACAGCGCGAAGTTTAGGTTACCGGCTGGCCCCTCACACCCCGGATAGCCCGGCTTATCGCTGATCCAAAAAGCGGCCTCTTGGTTGGTCGAAAGGTCCGGGCATGCGCTGAGGGGGGTTAGGGGGAGGGGGGAAGGCTTCTTAGAAGCACCCCTGTTTCTTAGAAGGCGCGGGCCTGTTTTGCAGATGTAGGGCCAGCGCCTTCTAAAGAAGCAGCCTCCTTCTGAGAAGCCTTCGCCCCTTCTGCCCCCCTTTGCGCGCCGCCACAATGCCCAGGGCCTGCGTATCAAAGAACCTGGCACTCCAGACTTCTCATGGCACCAATATCGCAGAGCGGATTTCGTTTGAAAAAGCAATAGGATGGGCCCGGAGTATGCTGGAGATTTCGCTCCGGATTTCGAAATGAATTTCGTGCGCAGGAATGAAGACTGAACAGAAATCCACGTGACATTCACTTCTTTTTTCGCTCGCCGATTAGGGATTTTGCATTGGCAGAAATCTACGCAAAAATTCGCTGCAGCACGTCTGCAAGGTCGGTGCAGTGAGACATCTGTTTTTTGACTGCTGCGGTTTTTTGTTGCGCTCCCGCTCCGCCTCGAAGTGTGCTGGCCAGAGCGTGCCCCTGGTCGGCTCCACCAGGGGTAGATCGATGGGAGACGACGGCGGCGGCGGCGACGATGACGACGACGACGACGACGACGACGACGCGGCCACGACGACGGCGAGCGACAGCAGCAGCAACAGCAGCAGGCGACAGCGGCGATGGCGGTGGCGACGGCGGCGAGGACGATGCCGACGGCGACGGCAAAGAAGACGGCGACGACGACGACGGCGAGGATGAGGAAAAGAGCAAAGAGCGCGAGGAGGACGAGAACGAAGAGGACGAGATGGAGAAAAGGAAGGATAGTAGAAGTGGGAGAGAGTGAGAGGGGGAGCGAGAGATAGTGTGTGAGAGAGAGAGAGAAAACAAAAACAAGGGTGGGAAGCTATGCGATGAGGTCGGACGAGATGGGATTAGATCAGATGGGGAAGTTTGGGAATTACACGGTGCGTATAGAACAAGGTCTGGTGAACATGGGAAGTTTCATACGATATCCGTAAGGGCTTCGCCCCCTGCCGTTGGCCTCCTCTCTATCATAATGGGATGTATCAGAGTCGCGTCGGTGCGTCTAGGCGCTGCCTTGGCGCATCTGGGAACATCATGCGGGGGCGGATAGGAATCATCAGCGCAGATTGAGACGTTGGCGTTATCGAAGACGCCTACGGCGAATCACCGCCGCCGCCTGCCTTTTTTGAAACGCCTATGTGGCCGAACGTTGTGGCCAGAGGCCTGCCAAGCTATCGGACCATGCGTTCCCCGAATCGGTTCTGGGCCGACTTGGGCTTTTCTTGGGGTGCTCCAGGGCCGTCTTGGAGGCCATCTTGAGCGTTTTGGAGGCCCCCTGGCCCGTCTTGGGGGCCGTCTTGGGGGCCTCTTGGGCCGTTCTGGGGCCATCTTGGAGGCCTCTTGGGTGATCTTGGGGCGATACTGGGGGGCTCTTGGGCCGTCTCGGGCCGTCGGAAGGCCGAAAAGAAGCAAATGCCAAGATCCTTCAAAAACCTATGGAAAATCAAGGTTTTGGGCCTCTTCTGGCCTTCCTGGAGGCCCTCTTGGAGGCCTCTTGGGCCGTCTTGGGCTAGCTTCGAGCCAACTTCGGCCATCTTGGTGGGCTCCTGGCCCGTCTGACGCCGTCGGAAGCCGATTGGGAGGCCTCTCTGGGCCGACTTGAGGCATTCTTGGGGTGCTCCAGGGCCGTCTTCGATGCCATCTTGGGCGTCTTGGAGGCCTCTTGGCCCATCTTGGGGCCCTCTTGGGGCCGTCGTGGGGGCGTCTTGGGCCGTCATGGGGCCATCTTGGAGGCCTCTTGGGGCGATCTTGGGGGGCTCTTGGGCGTCGGAAGGCCGAAAAGAAGCAAATGCCAAGATCCTTCAAAAACCTACGGAAAATCAATGATGTTGGCCCTTTCGGGCCTTCCTGGAGGACGTCTTGGACGGCTCTTGGGCTGTCTCGGAGGCCTCTTGCGGGCCTTTTGGGCCGTCGTAGACCATCTTAAGGCCATCTTGGGCCGTCTTGGGTGCATATTTGAGCCATCTTTAGATGTCTTGGAGGCCATCTTGGCATCCTGGAGCCCATCCTGGGCCATCTTGGCCGTCTTGGAGGCCATCTTGGGGCAACAAAGGCATTGACGGATGGATTTTCGGGAATCTCCCGGGACCCCGGCGGGACGGGCCGAAGCCCCAGTGGGAGCTCTTTGGAAAAAGAGCCAAAACCAAAAGCCATATTGTTCGGCACGCCAGGCACCCTTGTTGCAAGCAACAGGGGGCGGCGGATCCTAGTGACCTACGACCCATCCCGCCACCGCGCCTGGGTTATGGGCCTGAGGCCTCTTGTA